GGTGCCTAATTTGAAAATATTTGGCATTGAGCCACTTAATGATTTATGAGTAACAAACAAAACATAATCCCTCTCATTTCCACTAATGGGATATGATCCAACTAGGTGGGATTTTCCATTTACCTTGGCAGAGGTATCACGAATTCAGTCTGTCTATTCTGGTAATCTCAGTTTACAAATTGGCAACATTGCACCTTTGATTAGCTCTGTGAAACGATTTTGTGAAATGAAAGGATCTCCCATTCTTTCTATATTTGGCAGCCTTGGTTCTATAAAAATGTCAGTTTTGTCACTCCTTTTATAGTTTCATACAGCTGACTTCTCTCTTCTCCCCACTGTGAGATATTAAAAATTTAGCAGGAGCTTTATCCAAGTGTATCTGGATGGACGAAAAAGCCAGAATAAGCTTGTCAAACTTGAAAATACCTTGGGACAGGAGGTCTTTACACTGACTGGCTCTTCAAAATATTCCAAGTGGCTTTGCCAACTGAAGATTATTAGCTGTTGATTGAGAAGTGTATATGAGAATATGTCATAAACTGAAAGTTGTAAATTAGAAGTTGGAAGATAACTGCAGTAGTAACTTCTGAAAAATAGCATTATATAATTAAAATATTTGAGGATCAACTTTGTTGTAGCGTCTCCATTTTTATTTTAACAAAATACAATAATTTTATTTAATTCCCATGTGCTAATATGAAATCACTCTGCAGAATGAGCTTCTTTTTTTTTTTTCTTTTTTCTTCTTCTTTGTCCACATAGAGTTCCAAGGGAATCAAAGGCTTCCCTGACCTGCAAAGGCACTGTGTTATGGAAGACATCTGTTTCAGAATCTGACTTCACTGTGGGATTTCAGAACTACTCTTCTAATAGGGACTTGAAAAGTCAAGTTCAAAGTGATATTTAACAGTTTATCATATCTTTTTTTAGATATTGGCAATGTAATGATTATTGTAAATATTTATAATCACATACATGTGGTACATACGAGGCAGGTATATTGACTAGTAATATATCAGTAAGGTAAAGTTATCCACAAATTACATTTTGGTTATACATATGCATATTGTATAGGCAAATAGGTAAGATTTCTAGATAAAAGTTTGTTTAAAGACTACTTCTTATAAAGTAAGTTATCATTTAGGAGAAGGTTATTTCTATAACACAATTTTGCTATGGATTGAAATTATTTAATGTTTGTTGTTTTTATTTATAGTATATACATATGAATTCTATCTCAGTATTTAGATCTTGAAAGTCTTTTAAAAATTGAGAAAAAATATTTTAGGAAACTGAAAATTCTGGTAAAGTTAAAGAAATTGCACAACATGGAGTTAGATATAATCTTTGGAATACACATGTAAATTACTTTACTAAACCCCATGCTATTTTAATGTATGGAAAAGATAAGGCTTGCAGAATGGAAATTAAAAAAGTGCATATCTATAATTAGAATATTTTACATGTGGAAATCCTATAAAAAGGGTGTTATGTAAGAGATTATAAGGTAAAGATATAGATTACATAGAAAAGTTTGTATGGCATTATTGCAAAGTCAAAGTAATAGAATAGATGTACCACAAATAAAAAATAAATAAGAGGGTGCAGTTTATAACTCTATGTTCATAAGTTTAAAAGCCCAACTTTAAGAAACAAAACCTGCAATGTCTTACTGGAATGAGAGCTCTGGCATCTGGGAGGAACCTGCTTTCAGACCCATAAGGGTTCTAAAATTTAGTAAAATTAATGATTGACAGCATGCAATGTTTTCTGATAAATTTAGCAAAGGAAAATCCTTCCCCCCCCAAACATAAATAAAGCCTTTAAATTCTTCCCTTAAGATACTGCAGGCGCACGGAAGTATAAAAATAAAATGAACACTTGGCATAGCCAGGAACACTCTCCCATACAAGCCTACCATTCCTCTCTTGTGACCTTCGACACTCATCACAGTTAATACTTGTGATACTTCACAGTTAATACTTCGACATTAATACTTGCTCAGTTTTTGCCTCTTTCATGAGTTCTAGCAGAGGCTTGCCTAGTTTATTTTAACATTTTATTTCTAGAATCTAGCTCAACAAGTATTCGTGTTATGAAAGAATTAATTCACGATGCCTTGCACAGCAAGGAGGTTTCCCCTCTGATGACAATTGCATTTGATAGTTTAGGCTAAAAATTCTTTCACATCCATTGTGACATATAAACCTGGGTAGAGGAAATAAGAGGCAGTTTTGATGTCCATTTTGTGCTTTGGGGAGATTGTTTCTCGCCTAAGAATACACAAGTCCAATGGGTAAATCTAGGATTTTTGTTCCTAGGTTTTTCTCCTAACAATTTAATTGCCCGTGTAACAAACAGCAGTCCTCTAAAGACTTAGGTTAGGTATTTAGATTCCACATGCATACATCTCCTTTTTCTATCAACGTGCAACACTCCAAGTTGAAATTCATAGGATAAAAAAATATTTTGCACAGTACCAACTTGTCAATTCTTTGAACACTTCATTATCTCCCATTTGTTGTAGTTGGTTATTGTTGTTATTCCCGCCCTCCATGAGGCCATAGTTAGATTAGCACCAGCCTGAGACAAAATGTGCCTTCTTTTCACTCCCTAGGTGGCCCTTCCTACATTGACACTGAGCTTGGTCACATGACTTGCTTTAGACAATGTGACAAGAGTAAGTATGATGAAAGCTGAGGCTTTAAAATGCCTTTGTGCCTTGGTGGTGTTCCTCTAAATACTCATGGGAATGTTTCTACCACCCTTTAAAGAATTCCAGAAGATTACAAGATAAAACTGCACGCAAAAGAAACATGCTACCAACTGGGATACCAGCTGAGGCTGCCTAAACCAACCTACAACTGAATATACCTCCACGAGGGATAGAAGTAAACTCTTCAGTTGAACCCAGTGAAATCCCTGACTCACAAAATTGTGAGCAAATTAAATGTTGACTATTGTTTGAAGCCATTATGATTCTTAAGTGGTTTGTTACACAGCAAAATTTAACTGATACGAAATTGAAAAGGTATCTTTTTTAAAAAAAGGATAAAGTTGTATGTGTGTGTATATATGTGTCTATCTATAAATATATGATGCTATATACATATATATATATATTTTGCATATGATACTTTCCCAAGAGAGGCAAGTCAATTAAAAAGAAAGAAGAAATATCCAAAATACCTTCAAAATTCCAAAACCAAATTCACAATATTGCTTCTAAAAACAAATTATTCTTAACCTAAGTGAAACCTCTGCACTATGATCAGATAATGAGAGGTAATCCTAGGCGATCTCCAGAATAGCAAGCACAGAAGAATTTGGGTTTTTCTCTTGAGTAAGAGCACAGTACTACATCCCATTATTTTTGTAGATTCAGAGCAAACCCTAGTTTCTTATTTCCTTCAGATATCACATAAAACACGGTTGCATTTCCTAGAATTCACTGTCTCTAAAAGAACATTAATGTGTAATTCCCTCTTCCCTTTTTTTCCTGCTCCCCGTTAAAAAACCAACAACAAAAAACTCAATTAAAAAATCACAGATGTCTGATGACGTAGATTTTGGATCCAGCTCTCCAGCACACCAAATGTTGTACACTTATGGAGGGGATTTTGTATGTGAAGTTCAAGGGGAAGGAAATATTGTGCTCCATAATTTAGGTACTAGTCATAATATTTAATAAAAAACTGCCAATAAATGAAACCACATAAATGTCTTCCTCCATATATTTCCACTATCCAGAACTATCTTAATAAAAACTACAATATAGAAATTAACAGAAGGAAAACAGATGATTTAAGAAATTGGATAAAATCAGTTAGACTTCTAAGATAGTATTCATTTATACACACCCTGTTGATATTTCCTTGGTTCCAGTGGTATCCCTGGAGGAGGTACGTACAGTGGGAGAGGAAATGAGATATTAGCCTTGAGAGTGCCAGTCATAACTGCACTGTCCATAAAGATGTTTGCATGTGCCTTTCAGGAATGTTTGGGTTTTTTTAGAGATTAGCAACTGTTAACCATCAGTAGGCTAGGTCCCCCCTGGACCAATCAGAATCCATACTAGAGTGCACTGGGGGCCCTATTGGAGAGAATCACTTGCCATTCAAGTAAATCCAAGGCAGAACCCAAAAAGTAATTAACTTAAAAAATATTATTTAGGTCTTATGAACTGGAGCCCACAGATCATTAGTAATTTCAAACTGTCTCTAAGTGAGTGGTTCTAGAATTCTGACTTTCTGAGACCAATACAGTTCAAAATTTTGTAAGGTAATGAGGGAGAAATATTTCCCAATGATCTATGTGCCCTTGCTCCCATCATATCCCAGCCTCCTTGAACTAAAGTGGCACAATTGACTATTTCTGGACATTAGAGTGTAAATGGAAGTGACATGGGTCATTTCCAGGTGAAAACATTTAAAGGTCAGTGCATGAACCTCCAACTCTTTCTCCACATATTGAGATGCCAGAGAATCAGCGAGGGTCTGGTGAGTGATTATATTTGGAATGCTGGACTTGTAAAATAAGTACAGAGAGTAAGCAAATAATAAAGTCGTTTTGTTCTTTCACTGAGGTTTTGGGGGTTGATGTTTTACTGAAACATAGCAAACCCTATCCTGAGCAATGGAGAAAACTCATATGGGTTTGCCTACTTTCTATTATACCAAATGAGGAAATTTTGAAATATGAGCAAACAAAATGCCCCCCATATGCCATCATTACATTAAAAATATATTAAAACCAGAACGGGCACGATCACACAATAAAGAATGATTCCTTAAACTGAATTGATGCAGTGTTTTTTAAAACATTGCTATCTTATCTTTAATTTTGTTATTTTGCTGGGCAAAATGTTCAATATGAAATAGAACACCTGTCTTCCAAACAGTGTTTAAGAACCATACATCTAGATATTGCAAAGATCACTGGAGAAGATTTATGACTCAAAGCAATTAAAAATAGCATATCACAACAATGTCTGACTTTACCTGTCTTTCAGTGAGATCCAGATTCACAGCTATCTCGTATCTCCTCAGTCTGGTCAGATAATTATGATGGGCAAATTCTGCTTCAAGTTCTCTGATTTGCTCTTTGGTAAATGCTGTCCTTTCCTTTCTGGGTTTGCTATTGACTTCTGATTTGTAATTGCCTTCCTGGGAGTCTGGTGGTGGAAAAAAAAGCAAGAGAAAATTAGGTTTAACTCATTCATTCAAACACATTCAATCATGTCATTCTTATCAGAAATATTTATTGAGTAACTACTTTTTCAGGTATGTGTAAGACATGGGGGAAATAGAGACCAAAAACAATAAGATTGATCTCACCTAATTAGGGTTAGTTTACATTTTATTTTTATTTTTTCAATATATCCTCAAGTGACTCTCAGTCTAATTGGGAAATGTCTAGTTTTTCCTTTTGAAATATTAACAAAAAATTTAATATGTTATTATATGATTTAAAAAATGCTTACCTAGAAAACAATTTTAGATATAAAATTTTGCCTAATAATTTGTTTTTCATATATACTTGAGTTCTAAGTCTGGTTAAACAGAGTAATTCTAAAATATAGTGGTGGCTCAGTATATGAATATTAGAGCAATTCAGATGTTTAGCAAGTAAATCATAAAAGTCAGTTCAATATCAGACTACCATATGCAAGAGTATATGTATTTATTAGCCTTTTAATTTCAATTTAAGTTCAGCCTTCCTCAGGACAATAGCAAAGCTTTTTATTTCATATAGTACTTAGGCCAAAATGGAATCTATAATTAAATTGTGTTCCTATACTTAAAATATGAGCAGAGTTAAAATTTTTTTATTATGTATGAGATAAACATAAGATGCACAACATCTAACAATAGCTATCCAAACACCAAATTGTAAAATGCCATGTACAAATAATAATTTAGAGCATATCATTCCATCTTTATTCCTAAGCATTCAAGATATCATTTACATATAGTATTTCATTTATCCACATAATATCCCTGAGATGTAGTTTAGAAGATCTTAATATATGGAACAGAATATGTGTCTATAATGGAAAATATTTCCATGTAAAACAAGTGATAGCTAATCATACCAGCTCTAGTAATTTATATAAAATTTATCCTCAGTGAAATATATCAATATCAATACAATCAAGATAAAGGCATGTTTAGGCTTTCTTGAAAATTATTTCATTTTTCTAGTTATTTTGGAGCATGAACATACAAATAGTGATGTCTTTATTAGGTGGGAGTATAGTAAACTCTTCTATGATCCCAAATGAGAGAAGTGATATAGAAAAAATGATGGTTAATCAAAGGTTTCAGAGAATGACATTTTAATTTTTTTTCAAATGACAAATGTAATAAAAGGTGCAGCTTTATGAAGGATCGTGTCAGGAAATATTTGTTTCTTCATCCAACGACACTTAAATGCACTAATGCAAAAAAAATTATATAATTTTTTATTGTTTTTCTTTTCTTTCTGTCTGGCCTGGGAGAAGTCTATCTGAAGTAAAGAGAGCCTTGCATAATGAATATCCACTAGACAAGGCCCTCTAATGTAAATAATTTTGTTTTGACTCTTACCAGAATCTAACTGGCCAGATGTGAAGTTTTCTATGTCTAGTAGCAGCAGCAGCAATAGGTTTGCATCAAAATTTTGGCACATTGGCCGTTCCTTTTCCTCTGAGGGATGGCAGAGTATGTTTCACTGACTGGTGTGCTGGCACCGTCAGAAATTCTTCAGAATTCACTGACCCCATTTCTGGGCTTGTCACTGGCTCCCCAGCTTGGCTGGGCAGGCAGGGCTTTATGCAGAGCAGAGTGGTTTGTGGCATGTCACACACAGGTCCCACTACACTTTATGGTAAGTCCATGGGACCAGGTGAGTTACGTAATAAATGATGTGTGAGCTCTCACGTAGGCCATGTTTACTTACCAACTTACCAATGCCAACTTACTGGGTCCTAAGTGAACCCTACAGTCCAACACCCATCTCTTTTAGCTACAGATCTGCCAACATCCACGACTTTTGGAGGGTTTAGCTATTCTGGTATTGTGTGAGCAAAACTTCCCAATGATTAATTTTTTAAAAAATTAACTTTTCCACCCTGGCTATTCTGGCAGACTGCAAACTCAGTCACAGCCCAGGGTACTCAGATAAGTCCCTCTCACAAGAATCCATGTTCTCACGTGAATCAAAAGTATTTTTGCCAATTTGGATTCATGCTCAGTCTGAAATCTGTGGTTGATTATTCTTTACGTGGCGACAATGCTGTTTTCCCTTTAGTAAAGCAACTCTGGAAACCAACAGCAAAGCCAGAGCATTTTTTCTCATGAGCAATTCAATTGGAATGATTCATAGTTAACATATTCCCTTATACAAGCATGAATGAACAAATCACATTGAGAAAACCCTATTAACTTGTCTTTATTTTTGAAACCGATTTCCTTTAACTTTTGTGGCATTCAAAAGTAACTTCAAAAACACCACAAACACACGAACACATACACACACATACGCAAACAAACACAAAAACACAGAATTTGGGCCAGTCCTGGGAATACAGTCACATGTAATGGATTTACGGATATGCCCATTGTAACTCGTAATATGCAACAGGAGGTTTATACATCCAGTGACAGAATTTAAACTAAAGTCTGGCTATAATTCAACATTTAAATCCAAGAGCAACTTACCAACTGCCTGAATTCCAAACCAAAGTAGCTCAGGAAGTGGAATCCACTAGCTAAAATGATGTAAATGCGAACACTTGCATTTACATAAGGACAAATGGAACAATTATATAGTGATTAACATGACAGAGTGGGACGTGCTTAATTTCATTACTTGAGGAAAAAGGCACCATAGCTGAGTTTGCATCAGTATTAATTAATTCTGTGGATACTTTTATTTTTGTAGTTGTGATTCTTCTGTGGTTTTTACCTGTGATACTCCCACTTTTTCTTTCCTATAAAAAGCATCTCCCTTGGAATTGCATTACTGGACTTATATTTCCTAGAATCTTAAATTTAAAAAATTCTTTGACTTTTTCTACATTTTTCAAAACCCATCATTTGCTGACCCTGAGGCCTCTACTACTACCACCAACCAGCTTTTCTAGGGTGGAAAGTGGGTGGAATCCTTGGAAGAGGCTTTGGGCAAGTTGCACATCAGCTTCCATCTGTTTCCCAGCTGTTTCAACTGAGGCAAAACTCCCTCCGTTTTTTTCAGCCTCCCATATCCTCTGCCAAATGGTAGGTGTTGAGGGGGGAACCTGGAAACTGCCTTCCTTTCTTCCCTACGACCACAAACAAAATGTCGCCATCTGTACAGTATATCCCACTGTAAAATATTACAATTGTTGTTTCTCATTTCAGATACTTTAATGCACATATGGGTGCACTCGCTGCTCAGAGGAAATGTTGACTTATGTATTCAGGTATAGTTGGCAGTCACAGTTCCCTAACCTTTTGCTCCCTGGGACTATGCTAATGGAAGAAGTCTGCAATACTTCCGTGGAGGATAAAAATTGCCCTCTAAGGATCAGTTCTGTCTAGCATTTAGAACTTCTCCACATGTGACTTTTCATTTCCCCTAGTGCAAAAGGATGCCAAAAGATAATAATGTTTTATTGAAGACAACTAATGTGAGGGCTTGGACTATTCACTAGTGGCACAAAATGCTTTTACGCAAAAGAGAAATATTAAAGTATGATTGAGAATATTTTTGGCTACCCTTGGTAAACTTATTAGCTTGTTTAAATGAAGAACATAATTTACCTCTGTCTGTAAAGTATCAAAATGTAAAGGAATGTCTCTATAGCTTAGACTAAAATGCATACTTTTTCATATTCCCAAAGAAAGAATGAAAACTAAGCCACGGTCTACTCTAGTCCTTTATAACTTCTTACATGAACGTTTTGTAAGCTATTCAAAATGATAGATATTCAGTTCATATTAACAAAGCTGAACGGATAGTAGGTATAGAAGCTAACGATGGTGACTGCCACTGGGAAGCCGGTGGGGAGGGAGAAGAGGATAAAGGGGAATAAATGGTGACAGAAGGGGACTTGACTTGGGGTGGTGAACACACAGTACAACATACAGATGCTGGGCTGTAGAATTGTATGCCTGATACATATTTCATTTTATTAATGAATATCACCCCAATAAATTCAATAAAAAAGAAGCTATTTTTACATAGGTGTAGGGATTGTGAATGGAAGAAGGGAAATTTATAGAATAATCTTACTGATGCTAGTAATTTTCACATTTAAGAGGGGGAAATTGCCTTCCTTTCGGGAAATTTATCTAACTTGCTTACCCCAGACTCTTAATGAGTGGGCATTTCAGCCTCTCCAGATTTTTTTTTTCAGAGTAAACAACTTTCCCAAGGAGTTCTTAAATCCTCTCAGACAGATCCACTCTCCAGATTTCAGAACCACTGCCACAGTGAGCTACTATTACTGATGAATGAGTCTATTATACACTGAGGTGTGTAAGGAGAAAAAAAATAGGATTGAAAACCACTCTGCTAAATCTAGAATAGAAATTAGCACTGAAAACATCCACTAGTTCTTGTGTTTTTGATATGAAAAAAATACAACTATGAGAATAGTCTCTTTAATAAAGCAAACCCAAATTTCAAAGATATAAAAAGGAATTTCCCTTTTTGTATTCAGCATGCAAAAATCATTCTACAGGCTGGGCCAGTGGCAGTCAAATTGGCAGATGTCCTCTTCACCATCCAGCCTCCCTGTTCACTGCCTCCTTGACTGTCATGGGATGTAGACTATGCTCTCAGGGATGAAATAACTCAGATAAATCCCAATTCAGTAAAATAAAAGATATATTCATTTTTGTTATATTTGTGTAGCCAATTGTATGTTTGGAGCATATGTTCTATATAGGATATTCTATTTATTTCTGTTAAAAACATTGAAGTTCCTACTTGATGGTCTATATTAAAATATGAATTGTTTATAGCTAAAAAAGGTATAGCATAGAATAGTTACTATTATGTAAGAGTAAATTTTAGTTTATAGAATTAACTTTTTCCCAAAACATTTGAATTATTTTTGTGCAATTAATTATTAAAGTGACATTAATCAAATTTAGTATACATGATTGGGTCAGTATTTAGCAACAGCTAGTTATGAGCAAATATTAG